AATTAGACTTTTAAGCGTCTATTTTCACCAATAATTACCTTTTAATATAAAATAACTAACAATAATTTGCTACAATACCCACAGAATTCATAAATATGTGTTTATAAGGAAATTTTCAAAAATTATAACTAAATATTTAAACAAATATTTACCCACTTTTTAGTAAATATTATATAACATATTTGATCACTTATAAATACATATATTTTTACGCTTTACTTATCATTAAGTCTATTATTATATGAGTGTATTTTTAACCACAATTCAGCTATGAATAATGTGGTTTATAGGATCGTTCTGCCCCCATCTACGGCCCCCTCTATGGGATTTAACATGGAATTACAGCTTAAAATTATGGCTATACTTTAACATGAGGTTCTTAAGTCTATGGGGAATTAACATGGGATTACAGCATAAGTCTATGGCTATACTTTAACATGGATAATGCTACGTCTATGGGACTAATGTCATCCTATGAGTAATGTTAGGTCTATGGAACTAATGATAAGTTTATGGCATAGGGTTAATATGGGTGATGCAAAACGCATCTAAATAATGTCTATAATAATAAGCACTCACTTTATACGTGTTAACTCTGTGGAACATAAATGGAATTTAATATCTGATGCGATAATCATAACCAGCTTTAAAATCTACATCGATTTCACATATCATATCAATAAATTAAGTCAATTTAAGATTTTCGACAAAAATATTTCTAAGTCGAATAACTCGAAAATTATTTGAGATAGACATTTACAAATGTTATTTTAGAACTCAGCGTCTAATTCCACATAAGATTACGAGGAGACCCGTCGACGGATGACGGTTACGGGTGGACCCGTACCCGACGGGTCCGGGTGACGGGAATAAAAGTGCTGTCCTGAGTTCTCAACCTATGAGGTTAATGTTAATTTTATCTTTAATATATAATCTATGGGTAATGATTTGCGCTCGAAATATTCGGGAACTCCCAGAAAAAATTAGATAATACAATCTTCGGGAATAACATCCAATTAGTTTAAGGGTAATAATAGAATGTAAACAATTATTTTCCCGATTTTGTCATATTTTGAGAGAATTCTCGAAAAACCCTTTTTATGACAAGTAATCCCTAAAACGCATATTTTTTATAAATATTTAGGGAATGACATACATTGCATACGGACGCTCCGGACGGGAATGGTATGCGTTTGAAACTCATGACATAATTTATTTGCAATGTATTGTTTGGATCGGTTCCTGATTTCATGATTTTAGTCCAACCCAAGCGGTGAACACCAGATCCCGTCCCGTTTTCGTTGTCGTAACCGAACCCAACCATAAGAGCGTACTCTTCGTCCCAATTAGTGGCCATCTCTTCGGGTAAACAAATGGCATTAATACCCGTCGAACCGGACGTCCCGTCCAATGGAATATCAGTGTTGAGTCGGATTAGTCCCAAATCATAGGTATCCCAACGATTGAGCGGATAATCGGGATGAATGAAATACTGACTGACCGTATAGTATGGATGGTTTGCAATGCTTTGGTTCGTTAGTCCCGGATATACACGAATGTCAGTCACCGGACAGTTTGCGCCACAACTCAGATATTATTTGATTATTAAAATATAATAGGCCATTCATTTAAATTAGACCCAGTTAGATTTGCAATTAATTTGGAACCATTAAGGTGATAATATTGAATCTTCACACGTATATAGATAAACGTCAGGAAATTTATATAGCGTTAGAATTTTTTTCGATCACGTGACTATTTTATCAGAAAATGGAGCATATGCGCCCCCGATAGTCTGTGACTACTGTGTTAATAATAGGGAAGGTGTAATGTAAATCATTAAACATTTAACTTTAATGTTTATATAACACTTTGACATTTGCTCCACATAACCACCACTCCACCCCTCCCTATTATTAACACAATAGTCACAAACTATGGGTCGCGCATATGCTCCATTTTCTAAAAAAAAGTCACGTGATCGAAAAAATTCTAACGCTATATAAATTTCCTGACGTTTATCTATATACGTGTGAAGATTCAATTTTATCACCTTAATAATTCCCAAGTAATCACAAATCTAACTGGGTCTAATTTAACTGAATGATCTGATATTTCTGTGAAATAAATATAATTCATACTATAATGCGTGAGCGCACGTTAGGATCCATCGCTTGTTCAGTATTACACCACTGGATGAGCTATAACTGTGTGTGGAGAGAGAGAGAGAGAG